AGACCCTCGACCCTAGACCCTAGAAGCCCTAAAACTCCTCGCCAACAGAGCAAGGCCCTGTCCTCGCTTGGGTCGTGCGGGCTTGATGCGCTGGTAGTGAGGCGGTGCATGGCCATGTTACTTTGCGGTGTATAAGAACCTTAAGGTAGTTTAGGGTTTAGGGTTTAGCGTTTAGCGTTTAGCGTTTAGGGTTTAGGGTTTAGGGTTTAGGGTGTTTAGGGTTTAGGGTGGCCATATTGGCCATGGAACCTTTGGGGGTGCTGCCTTAAGGAGTCACGAACACAACCTCAGCCCTGACAACCTACATCCCAAACCCTAAACTGGCTGGTTCTTAGTAGGGAATGAGGGAATGAGGTACCCTATGTATGCCCTTTAAGGGATTACATAGCCCGCATTCCCTCATTCCCTACTAAGAACCAGGGAGTAAGCCCCGAAGGAAACCCTGCAGATTTCTGGGTGTCAAGGGCCGCTTAGGGTTTAGGGTTTAGGGTTTAGGGTTTAGGGTTTAGGGTTTAGGGTTTAGGGTTTAGGGTTTAGGGTTTAGGGTTTAGGGTTTAGGGTTTAGGGTTTAGGGTTGAGGGTTTAGGGGGTGGGCTGGCAGCTCTGCACCCTCAACGTCCTAAGCCGCAAGCCCGCCACCTTCAATCCGAACCTAAACTCCAAACCCTAAACCTTTTCAACCCAAAACCCTAACCCTAAACCTAAACTTTTAAGCCCTAAGCCTCAGAACCTCAAGCTTCAAACCCTGAACCTTAAGCCCCAAACCTCTTATCCCGAAGCCCCTGAGCCGTATCAACGAAGGCCCTACTTGGAGGTTCATGGTACTTATTAACCTTCTTAACCCAATTATGACTGTACCTATAACCCACTTGTAAGCACCTTAAGTGCCCTAATATGGTTACAAGTGCAGTTGTTAATGAGTACCATGAACCTCCAAGTAGCTGCTCGGGGCGCTGGGCGCCTTCAGCGAGTGGGTAGGCGTAGGGGTCGTTTGTTTGTAGGGTCGTAGGGTAGAAGGGGCCCGGTGTTTTTTGTTTCCTAACGTTGGCCCTGGCTTGGTGGCCTTGGTAACGTTGGCCCCAGGCCTTCTGGTCCCCTGGTCCTCTGGTCCCCTGGTCCTCTGGTCCCCTGGTCCTCTGGTCCCTTGGTCCTGTGGTCCCCTGGTCCTCTGGTCCCCTGGTCCTCTGGTCCCCTGGTCCTCTGGCCCTCTGGTCGCTTGGTCTTCTGGTCCTCTGGCCTTCTGGTCCCTTGGTCCTCTGGTCCTACGCTCCTCTGGTGCTCTGGTCCCGTGGTCCTCTCGTCCTCTGGTCCCGTGGTTTCCCGGTCCCGTGGTCAGATTTTCTTGTTTATTTGATGTACTTGTTTTGGGCATCATGATAATCATGATAATGGTATAATTACTATGTAGTTTAGCATATATATATATAAATATGTATATGTCTCTTTAAACATAGTATAATGTAACATAATAATATACAATCATATAATATAATATAATATAATATATTATAATATAATATATTATATTATGATATAATATAGTATATAATATATTATAAGATGATAATATTCTAATATATAAAATATTCTAATATACAACATACTCATATATAATATAATCTAATATAATATATTATAATATGATATAACAATATGATATAATATAATATAATACAATATAATATAATATAATGCTATTGCAATAAAATAGCAAATGATATATATATATATATTGTATATTTGAATACAAATATAAACATAAATATACATATAATATAGCTCAATGAAATATAATATAATATAATATAATACAATACAATACAGTATAATATAATATTGTACCATATAGCGCAATGCAATATAATATGATATAATATGAGATAAGATAACATAATACAAGTTTATATAACATAATATCATACAGTATGATAAAATATCATAAAACGTATGTATGTGTACATATATGTACATATAAAGTCATATAGTCCAATTCATAGTACACAGTACATATTTATATTGTTCTTTTGGAGCCGGGCAAGCTTGCTTGAAAGTGTATGAAACCCTTCCCAACCCATGATTGTGTTTGCAATGGGGGGGGGGGGGGGGGGGGGGGCTGCGCCCCCCCCCCCCACCCCCCCCCCCCCCCCCAACCCCCCCGCTGTTTTTTAAAGCCGGGCAAGCTTGCTTCAAAGCACATGAATCCCTTCCAAACCCATGATGCCAGCATTGTCTTCGCAAAAAAACACATTACGACACAATAAGATACAAAAAGATACAATAATGCACAACTATATACAACAAAATACAATTAGAGACAAAAATATACAGTAATATAACAATACATAAAAAAGAAGTACCTACATTAATCTCCAGTAATTTACAATAATTCAATAAAAAACAACAATATACAAAAACATACAATAATGTACAGCAATATCCAATCATATGCCATAATATACAATAGCCTACAATAATATACCAATGATATACAATAATGTGCAATAATATGAAGTAATCTACAAAAACATGCAAGAATGCACAATCATACGCAAGAATATGGAATAATATACAATAATATAGAATCAGAAAGAGTAATGTATAACCAGAGACAACAAAATTTCAAAAAACACAATAATACGCAGTAAGATACAAGAATATTAAAAATAGAAAACAATAGCCAAAAAGATACAACAATATGCAAATTATACAATAACATGCAAGATAATATAATAGGACAATACACTGATGTTTAAGAATGCCAGAATACACAGTAATATACAAAATATACAATAGCAGGCAAGAATATGTAAGAAGATACAAATTTTTTGACAATAGAATACGATAATATACAGTTATACACTATTATATCAAAAACATAGATTACTAAACAAGAATAGCCCCCAGTATACAATTTTCTACAATAATATGCAATAATTTACAGTACTATACAATCGTTTACAATATGTAAAGCAGTAGATTACGAAACAATAGCGGACCAGAATATACAAGAATAAATAGTATGCATTACTCAAATATGTTCAAAAAGATACCAGCAGAAACAATAGTATACAACAGTACACAATACCATGCAATAATAGACAATAATAGTGAATATTATTCAAGAATATTCAATATGATTAATAATGTTCAAGAATATTCAATGATATTCAATAGTATTAAATAATGTTCAATAATATTCCTGAAGACTCAAGAATATTCAAGAATATTATTCAATATTCAAGAATATTGAGTAGTATGCAAGAATACACTAGAATATACAACAGCTACAATATTAGAAGAACACAGAAATGCTGCATTTTTGAGCAATTAGAGCCTACAAAAAGTCACAAATGCTGTAACCTACAGCATTCCGAGCTTCGGAATACCCAGAAACGCTGTGTTTTTGAGCGTTTTGGGCTTACAAGCAACAAGAAATGCTGCATTTCATAGCATTTTAAAGCCAGGAATGGCAGGGCCAACGTTAGCAAGGCCAACCAGCCAGGGCCAACGTTAGGAAAACAAACACCTCCGCCGGGTAGAAGAAGCTCTTGGAGTTTCAGTGTGCGTGCAGGGTACCAATTTAGGGAACCCCAGCCCAAGGTAGAGCTTTGTTATAAACCTCCTATAAGACTCTAGCAAGCCGCACTTATTTTCAGGCCCTAAAACCCGAAGCCCCAAACCTAGGGGTTAGGGTTGAGGGTTTAGGGTTTAGAGTTTAGGGTTTAGAGTTTAGGGTTTAGATGTTAGGGTTTAGGGTTTAGGGGGATTGATCATCGCTTCAGGCTATGACCCTGGAGTCCTTTGGTTTCTCGCATTGTGAATGCGTCCAGCTTTGAGGTTGTGTAGGGTGCCGGCCACATATACACCTAAATGCGGTAGAATCTCAACACAAGGACACCCACCCCATCCTGATCCAACCCTGAACCCGGAGTTTAGGGTTTAGGGTTTGGGGTTTGGGGTTTAGGGTTTCGGGTTTGGGGTTCAGGGTTTTGGGTTGGGGTTTAAGCGGGTTTAGGGTTTCCGGATCCACTTCAGAAGGCGAGTTGCTCCCAGAGTCGCAGGGAGTTCTTGCGCGTGCGCTCCTCCCTTGGCGGTGCGCGGGAAAAAGGCCGACACACGAGCGCGGGGGGGCGCGGAGGGGGGGGGGGGGCGCGGGAGGGAACTCAGAATGCTTGGTGTGGGGTGTTGGTTTTATTCTGTCTAGACATTATACCGGACATATCAATCAATAAACAAATAAGCAAATAAATGAGTAAGAACAATATATATATATATATAGACATATACATATATGGAGAGAGAGCATGTAGCGCCATCCTTCTTTTTGCGGGGTTTAGGGCTTAGGGGCTATCATGTGACCACGCGGGCTGCGAGCTCCAGCCTAAACCCTACCTTCAACCCGAACCCTGGCACTTCTTCTAGAGGCATGTTGCCTGGAAGGCTTTGGGCTTAGGACGTGCTGGACAGCTGGTAGAAGGGGGCGATTTTTTTTTTTTTTTGAGGGGGGGGGGGGGGGGGGAGGGGGAGGGGGGGGGGGAGGGGGGGGGGGGGGAGGGGGGGGGAGGGGGGGGGGGAGGGGGGGGGAAGGGGGGGGGGAGGGGGGGGGGAGGGGGTTCCTGGTTTTGAGTTCAGGGACGAGGGTTTGCAGTTGAGATGTTCCCCCGTGTACTAGCAGTCCTTAGTAACGATTATCATAACAGTGCTAGAATCCCTATTACGGACTGCTAAAAGTATAAGGGCGAACATCCTAACTTTACGGTCACTGCTGGAAGTTCAGAAAGGGCCTTGGGGAAAGCCCAGCCCTTCTTGCTTCCTCCCCTGCAGTCCTCAGCCCGAAAACGCTCCACCCTAAACCCCAAACCCTAAACCCTAAACCCCAAACCCCAAACCCCAAACCACAAACCCCAAACCCTAAACCCTAAACCCTAAGCCCTAAACCCTAAACCTAAACCCTAAGCCCTAAACCCCACAACACTAAGCCCGCAAAAAGCCCATGCCAGGAAGACTTCCAGTCCTGGTCGCTCAAGGATCTGCGCGAGCAGGCCGGAAAGCTGTTGTCCCAGACCCTATACACGCTTACTAAACCCTACACCCTAAACCCTGCACCCTAAACCCAGATCCCTGTACCCATAACCCTATAACCCTATAACCTTATAACCCTATAACCCTATAACCCTATAACCCTATAACCCTATAACCATATAGCCCTATAACCCTATAACCCTATAACCCTATAACCCTATAACCCTATAACCCTACAACCCTATAACCCTATAACCCTAGAACCCTATAACCCTATAACCCTATAACCCTATAGCCCTATAACCCTATAGCCCTATAACCCTATTACCCTATTAGCCTATTACCCTATTACCCTATTACCCTACACCCTAAACCCCCCATGTACTATAATATAACTATACTAGGGGTGTTTAATATTAGGGGGGAGGGCGTGGTGAATATTTATAGTAATCAGAATTTGGGGCTTTTGGGCTCTAAACAGCTTAAGCCCGGCCCTAGACTTTAGTGATTTACGGTTTAGGGTCCAGCGAACCTGTAGAATGGTCATTGTAGCTACGGCTCAGAGTGCAACACTCAGAGCCTCGGATGGCATGTCAAGTTGCGCGTCCTCCCCCCCCCCCCTCGCCCCAGCTTTAAGACCTTGAACGCTCCTAAACGACTCTCGAAACTTCTGAACTTGTTTAGGGTTTAGGATTTAGGGTTTCGAGTTGAGGGTTTGGGGTCAAGAATGCCAGGGTTTCTCAGCCCACGACCCCCCACCCCCCCACCCCATAGGCCCTCCGTATGCAAACCCTCACTCCCACACCTGAAGCCCAAAACCCCTAAGCATAAACCCCAACATGCTCAAGCCCCAGAACCCGAACCCCATGTACCTCCCCCCCCCCCCCAAAAAACAAAACAAAACGCCTAAACTGCAACCACACAATTAGAGGGTCTAGGGCCTGAGCCCGAAGAACTAACCCCTAAACACTCCAACCCTAAACCCTAAACGCTGAACCCTAAACCCTAAACCCTAAACCCTAAACCCTGAAAAGGTGCGGCTCCTGGGCGTGAAGTGCGTGGCCTGCAGCGAGAAGGCCGACTTCATCGCTTCCCTCCAGGCGGGTCTTGGGGGGTTTAGGGTTTAGGGTTTAGGGTTTGGGGTTTGGGGTTTAGGGCTTTTAGGGTTATAGGGTTTAGGGTTTAGGGTACATGCCAGGTTTTAGTTAGAGACTGTGCTTCTGTGAGAGAGATTTTGAGTGGGGTGCCCCTTGAAAAGCCCAAAAAGCGGGGAGATCCAGTTTCGAGTCCAGGATTTGCGTGCCTCTCTCTCAGTCTCAGCACCAGCGCATGCCGGAAAGTAGGCGCTTGCCGATGTTTTAGTACTTAAGCACAAAGAGGACACCCGTCAAGGCCGCTCCCCGTTTGGGGTTTTTAGGGTTTAGGGTTTGAGGTTTTCGGGCAGTTGTTTTTTTTTGGTTTTTGGCGGGGGGAGGGGGCGGGGGAGGTTGGGCTCCGAGCCTTCGGGTTTTGGAACGGTTTGGGGTCTGGGGTTGGGGGTTTTGGAACTCTTAGGTTAGTTTTAGGGGGGAGATGGGGAGCAGGGTTTAGGGCCGTTTAGGGGTTAGGCGTTTAGGATGAGGGACTTTTCGGCGGGGTTGATCGAGGTTGGGACCCTCAACTATAAGGACCCTCAACTCCAAACCCTCAACTCCAAACCCTAAGCCCTAAACCCTAAACCCTAAACCCTAAACTCCTGAATCCCTTAACCCCTGAATCCCTTAACCCCTGAACCCCTTAACCCCTTAACCCCTTAACCCCTTAACCCCTTAACCCCTTAACCCCTTAACCCCTTAACCCCTTAACCCCTTAACCCCTACTCCCATAACCCACCTTCCTATCCCTACTTAATTGCTAAGCCAAAAAGGGCTTCCAAGTATAGAACCCCAAACACCCTAAACCCTAAACCCTAAACCCTAAACCGCTTCTGAACACCCTACCTTGAACCCTGGGGAAGGCCCTGGGCCTAGGGGGCGAGTTTAGGGTTTAGGGGGGATGCTAAGTAGGCTGACTTAGTGAAAAGAGCTTCTCCCCAACCCAAAACCCCCAAGCTTCTGTAAGGCGTAGAAAGGCCTCTGCAAGGCCATTCAGGGGAGGAACGCTGCGGAATTTCTTGTTTACAGGTAACCAGCCAGCTGGGGGGGGGGGGGGTGCAGGTAGAGAAGTTGAAGTGCAGAAGGGTTTGGATTGAGGGTTTAGGGTCTCGGGTTTCGGGTTTAGGGTTTAATTCGGGTCTAGGGTTTAGGCTGGTGCTGAGCTTTTTGTCCAGGGTGCTTCCAGGCTTCTCGGGTTCGGGCGCTTAGGCTTAAGGTTTTTTTTTTTTTTTTCAAGGGCTGGGGAACCCTAAAGCCTGAACTCTAAACCCTAAACCCTAAACCCTAAACCCTAAACCCTAAACCCTGAACCCTAAACCCTAAACCCTAAACCCTAAACCCTAAACCCTAAATCGGCAAGGCAAGCTTTTGATGTGGGCCTTCCCATCGAGCTCGAATTCAGCCGAGAGCAGCGGTGCTGAGGCGCGGGTGTCCGCAAGCCCTGAGCCCTGAACCTCAAGCCTACAGCCTCTACTGGGTTTAGGGCTTAGGGCTTAGGGTTTAGGGTTTAGGGTTTAGGGTTTAGGGTTTAGGGTTTAGAATTTAGGGTTTAGGGTTCAGGGTTTAGGGTTTAGGGTTTAGGGTTTTGGGTGTATAGGGGCACCCTTACCAGTGCGGAGGTCGCTCAAACAAGCACGGTCCCTTTGGGGGGGGGGGGTTTGCAATGATAGTGTAAGCCTTAGGGCGGCCTGCAAAAACAGGGTGATTTAGGATGCCCAGGAAGACTTTTCCTGGGCATCTTGAACCTTGAATCTTGGATCCGGGCCCAATGTTGAAGTTCAGTACGGAAATATTGGGACTCCCATGACAGGGACGCAAACGGGAAAATCAAGCCCAAAAACGGTGGATCAATGGGGGGGTGATTTTTTAGGGATCCTGATTATGGTTTAAGGTCTGCTACTTAATTACGGGGTATTGGGCTCCTTGGGTTGCCATTTTCATGCTTTGCATATCTACTAATTGCTCGAGAACCCCGAAAAAGAAAAAATATTCTTCCTCATTAAGGGTAATATAGGGTTATTTTTTCTTTTGGGGTACTTAAGCAAAGAGCAGGTATAGACACCAGATATAGAAACCCCTTTGTTCCCAAGGACTTCTTCGGGCCTCCCTCGTAGGCTCCCAATGAGGTTCTCTACGGTTTCCCAAGAGTTTCTTTGAGCTGAGGGTTTAGGGTTTAGGGTTCCCCCAATGTACCCCCCCGAAACCCTAAACCGTAAACCCTAAACCGTCGTAAACCCTAAACCCTAAACCCTAAACCCTAAACCCTAAACCCCAAACCCCAAACCCCAAACCCTAAGCTTCAGTCAGGATTCCAAGAGGCTAAAGAACCCTAAACGCAAAACCCGAAACCGAAGAGTCCCGCAACAATCTTCCGTTGCCGGCGGCCAAGGTTGTCAGTGTCGATTCCGTCGGCATCGGTTCCAGCGGTTATTGGCAAAGGCCACTGAACCCTAAACCCTAAACCCTAAACCCTAAACCCTAAACCCTAAACCCTATACCCTAAACCCTGAACCCTAAACCCTAAACCCTAAACCCTAAACCCTGTATGCTAGTTCATCTCGAGGTTGTGGGTGAGTTTCGTTTCGAGCGTAGCCTGAGAGGCTATTCCGAGTCAGCTCTTTCGTGAGTTCATCAGGGTTTAGGGTTTAGGGTTTAGGGTTTAGGGTTTAGGGTTTAGGGTTTAGGGTTTAGGGTTTACGGTTTAGGGTTTAGGGAAAAAGGGCTTGTGGTTTCTAGGTGAGTTTGGGCTTCAGTGGCTCGAAGAAATCTAGAGCAGCTTCCAAAGCAAGCGGTCCTCACAACCCTCTTCTCTAAACCCTGCATGCACGTTCCACCTACGTAGCTCTAAACCCTACACCCTAAACCTTAAACCCTCAACCTGAAAACCCGAACCTTGTGTGCACCTCGCCTCCGTCTGCTCTAAAAGACGCACCTTCGCCTCTGGGTTCTCCTACTTCTTCACCGGGAAAGAACCCTAAAACCTAAACCATAAGCCCTAAATCCTAAACCCTAATAAACACCAATTGCCGCCGGGTCCTGGTAAACCCTAAAGTCCCTAATCCCTCTATAGAGCCTCTAGGGTTTCTGGTTTAGGGTCTAGGGCTATTGGTCCCAAGCCCCCCTAAACCCTAAACCCTAAACCCTAAACCCTAAACCCTAAATCCTAAAGCCCAAAGCCCAGGGTCTAGAGTTGTCTTAATTAACCCAGCCCTGAAGCGCCATCCCTCAACGGTTTAGGGTTTCAGGGTTTAGGGCTTTAGGGTTTAGGGTTTAGGGTTACTAGGATAGGGCCTCAACCCTGAAGACAAAACCCTGGGGCCTTTTAACACACAAACCACCACACCCTAAAAGCTCTGCGCAGGATTGGCGACCCACTTCCGCCAAAGAGCTCCAAATCCTCATCCACGAATCCTCCTCCGCTCCTCACCGAAAAAGCCCGCTTGGGGTTTAGGCTTTAGGCCCGAGCGCCCTTAATCCTACAGCTGAGCTGTCAGATATCTTTCACTGTTTTCCTTTTCACAGGAATGTATTCGTAGGTTGTTTTCAAAAAGCTCAGTTCAGAATTAGCCCTGAGCCCCTCAAAATCAGCCCAAACGTAGAAGCCTTACCTGAATTTAGAATCGGGGGCTTACGCGTTGGGGTGTTGATGATCTGAACGGAGGGTCCTTGTTTCTCACAGTGTAGGGTGCAGCACTTTACCGAGGCGCACATGGTACCTCTTATCCCATGTCTTCTCACTTCCCTCCTTTGCCTCTAGCTTTCGCAGACATCTTCGGCTTAGGAAAGGGTTTCAAAGGCCTAGAAGTACACCCTAGCAACTCCAGACCCCCGAATCCCCCAATCCCCCAAACCGTGAAAGCCTGTAAACCGTAAACCCTTCTAAACCCCCCCAAAACCCCCAAGCCCTGAAAGCCTGTGAAGCTTAAACCCCTTTCAAAACCCCAAACCCCAAACCCGAAGCCCAGAGTGTCGGAGGAGGATCATGCAGTAGCAGGAGGGGGGCGTGGGCAAGAATCATCGGGTGCTGAGAAGCCTTAAAGGAGTTAGAGGGTTTAGAGGGCAGGGTTTCAAAGTTTCAAAGTTTCGGATTTCGAGGGTTTGGGGTTTGGGGCCGAGGGTTTCGGGCCTCTGTAAACCTTCAACCCTAAACCCTAAACCCTCAGCCCTCAACTAAACCCTACATACACCCTGAACCCCTAAACCCGAAACCCTTTAAGCTTGGGAACATGTTCTCTCTGTCAGCCTGCCTGCCTGTCCGTGTCGCTGTCTCGGACTCCTTCCACACTCTGGAACGCTGAAGCCACAAAATCGCGAAACCTCAAGCTCCGCCGTTTAGAGTACTTTAGGGTATTGGGGCCTAGGGCATTAGGGCATTAGGGTATTCGGGTATTAGGATTTCAGGGTACTGGGTATTAGGTTATTAAGGGTATTAGGGTTTTAGGGTTCGGGTATGAGGGTATTGGGGTACTAGGGTATTAGGGTTGTGTTTGGGGTTGTGTTTGGGGTTGAGGGATGTCGGGATTTTCGGGAACAAGCCGCCTTCCGCTCGACCCTCATCTTGCCGCCCCCCGCATGGGCAGTGCATCACGTCTAAGGGCAGCGACATGGTCCTTTGGTCTAGGGTTTAGGGTTTAGGGTTTAGGGTTTAGGGTTTCCAGAGAGCCCAATACCCCATAATGAAGGAACATGCCTGAAATTTTCAAGGGATCCTGAATCTGATTTACAAGGTACATTACTTATTTGAGGGGTATTGGGTTCTTTGGGCTCGGTATGGTCCCTTACCTACTTCAAAGGGTTCTTGAAGTAATTCGCCCTGAATGGGCTTTCGTATATGAGGGGTATATTGCATTTCAGGGCCCATAGGAAGGGACATGTACATTCTACCCTTAGACGCATATCTTCCCGGCTTGCCGCGGCAACCCCTCCCAAGCGAGCGGGATGCCACAAAGGCAGGAAGGCTTCCACTATCTTAGGGCTCATCTCAGGACCGACCTTTAGGGTTTAGGGTTTAGGGTTTAGGGTTTAGGGTTTAGGGTTGAGGGTTCTGTACTACAAGATTTAGGATACTGAGGGCTTGGGGTATCTAAGAAGCTAGGGCTACCATTTTGGGGAACAACGGCGACAGTCTTCCCGACGAAGAAGTTTCAGAGCCCGGTGAAGCCTGCTGTGACAGGGATATGGTGATGTGGGCAGCCGATGATACGTCTCTACACCCCAAAGCTTAAAGCCTTATATACACACGAAAATAACCTTGAACCCTAAAGCCCAACAACCCCAACAACCCCTAACACCCCCTTAAAACCCAGGTCTTACGAGGTTAAGGGCTCAGGGTTCAGGATTCGGAGCGTGGGGTTTGACTTTTTGGGTTAGGTTTTCATAGAGTCTGCGTTTAGTGTACGAGCTATGAGAGTTTTGGGGCTTGCAAGGTTTAGGGCCGAGTTCCAAGTTTTCCCAAGCCTCTGGGGCCCTGAGCCCTGAAGCTGAACCCTAGACGCCCTGTAGAGTGTGGCTAGGACCCGGAGAACGCCCCGAATTCCCCTGTGTTTAGGGTTTAGGTGGGCTTAGAAGCCCTGTTAAGCCAAAAAGGGGCATCCTTCGTTTATGCCTAACTCACCGAAAAACGGTCCTGTGAACGTGGCCCCTTGAGTTAAGATCCATGCACGAGCGAGCTGCCACGTGGATCCTGCGCCGGGTGCGAGGAAGAGCTCAGGTCTCAGCGAGCACAAGCTTTGAACCCGAGCCCCCTGAACCCTAAACGTTTAAAGCCGTGAGCCCTGAGCCCTGACCCCTAAACCCTAAACCCTAAACCCTAAACCCTAAAACATAAACCCTAAACCCTAAACCCTAGACCCTAAAGCCTAAAGCCTAAAGCCTAAAGCCTAAACCCTAAACCCTAAACCCGAAACCCCAAACCCCAAACCCGAAGCCCCTGACGCCTAGGCCAGAAACCGGAAGAGCTAGGCATTGTAGAGCCCAAGACTGCAGAGCTACCAAGGAAGCATTGGTTCTCAGGGTTTGGGGTTTAGGGTTCGGGTTTAGGGTTTAGGGTTTCGGGTTTCGGGTTTAGGGTTTAGGGTTTAGGGTTCGGGTCTAGGGTTTAGGGTTTGGGGATTAGGTGTAGGGATTCACCTTGAGCTGCCCAGAGAAGCCCCACCGAACCAGGAAGGAAAGGGACCGACGATTGCAAATCGAGGGTGCTTGGGCTCTATCGTGTTGAATTCTACTTAAGAACCCTCAACAAATAGAAATATTCTTCCTTGTCAAGGGTAATATAGGGACTGTTGTTTTTCTATTCTTTTGGGGTTCTTAAGCAAATAGTAGTTCAGCGTCTAGGGGGTTTGGGAGCTTTAGGAGGTATAGGGGGGCTTTAGG